CCGCTCAACCAGCTAGAGGCGGGGGCCAGGTAACCTGATGTGGTGGTCAGTCAGTTATAGGTGGTAGCTAGTCAGTGAGATTTCGTCCTAGAGGTGGAGGACACGTAGTTGGGGCTCAGCCCCGTTGTTATGCATTTTTGGTTCGTCCCGAGGCGGAGTCGTCAGATGTAGTTATTACAGGTATTATTTTAGTCTGTCATAGAAATGCATTTTTGTTGTTTGAATTGGGTTCTATATATTCATATGTGTCTTCATGTTTTTCTTCGTATCTGAGTATGTCTCATGATTTTCTCAAAGTCCCTTGTTCTGTGTCTACACCAATTGAAGATTTCGTAGTAGTTGATCGGGTGTAATAGCCTTTTGTTGTTAGTATTAATGGTGATGATACTATAGTTGATCTGTTGTCGCTGGATATGGGAGATTCTTAGCAATTCTTGCTATGGATTGGTTGTCCCCATATCATGTTATCTTGGATTGTCATGAAAAGACGATGACTTTGGCCATACTAGGGTTTCCTAGATTAGGGTGGAGCGGGACCATTGGTCATTCCAGTGGTAGGGTGATCTAATATTTGAAGGCTCGGCGTATAGTCGAGAAGGAGTGTTTCGCGTATTTGGCTTACATTCAGGATTATAGTGCAGAGATGTCGTGCCCCGACATTGGGGAGCATGACCGGGGCTCAACAGAGTTACCTCGGTCGAGCAAGCCTGCACAGTGCCTTCTACCCAACTCACCCACAAATAAAGAGAAGAATACATTTCATTAATAAGTCAATAAGAAGTCATGTGAACAACACCGGTTCATTTCTATTAGTTACGTCACTATCAAGTCTTCAAAACAGTATGTTGTACAATCAAAGTTAAAGTGGAACAGATGATACCATTACAACATTTTTAGTTAACTTTCCCAAAAACATATACAACCCACACTATGTCTACGGAGACTCTAACAAGAACAGAAGAGTGATATGATAGTGCCGGCAATAAGGCCCCAGCTATACCTCAATATGCTATGTATAAAGGATAAAAGATACAAGGCCCCGAAATGAAGTGGGGCATACCAAATCAGCTGAGGAGAGGGTGTGTTTCTATCATTGATCAATACCACCTGCTATGGAACCACCTACATCCATTAAAGATGTAGCGCCCCCAGCAAAAGGGACGTTAGTACATATGGAATAGTACTAGTATGTAAAACTAAACAACCTCTCAATAGGACGAGCAACAGTAAACGGAGAATAAAACATGATATCAATAAGGGACTCAAACGGTATCAAAGTGCCACATTAGGGGAAACGTAAATTTCAAGTAGGTTTCGGTAATTTAAGTTGGGAGATCTTTAGCACCGATATACCACCGTGTTTTAGCATGGATACCGATCTCAGCCCGATCGGCTAAGCTGTCTCACCCCGATATATACACCCACAATACCACCGTGTGCGCGGCATAGCGTCCGATCTCAGCCCGATCGGCTAAGCCGTCTCACCACAATGCCGTGGGGGTCGACATTACATCACATCTAGCTAGCAATAATCTCATCCCATTTAAGGGGAAGACATCTCAACACACCAATCTCATCTTAAATAAGGGGAAACAGTCTCATCACATTAACACGAGGATTTACCCCTCAATCACTCCTACACCGGCACGTGTAGTTTCGGGGTTATGTTGTTCTGACCTACCCTTTCTCGATGGCTAATCGATACTCCCAAAGCATTTTTTATTAAAAGTATGTACATCTCAATTCATATTCTTTTACATGTCATTCATTTTATCGACATCATTGGCCATAACACAATATCATTCTTGGCATATTGGCCGTATTTCATAATTCAACTCACAATTCCATTTTCAATCATTATCATGAATAATCAACATCAAGGCCTTTCAAATTAAGACTTTAATCACATACTTGAGAAAATTAGGGCCTTAGGCACATATGACTTCTTACACAATTGACATGGTAGCTTTCATAAGAATTCACGCTTTCAAATTATAACATAGTAACACATAGCCCATACTTAAACCACATCCGCAAACATTAACTTAACATAGAAAGAATCTTTGAAATGCATATTGAACACATAATTATTTCGACACAAGGCTTATTTGACAATAATTCAATTTATAAAGAGCATCACGAGACTTACAAGGACATTATGGGGTTCAATTCTAAGAGAAGGGTTTAGCCAACATACCTTGCCTCAAGCTTTTTTAAATTACTACAATGTTCCGGAATTCTTAGCTTCTTTGATCTATTTGGAATTACAGAAAAATTGAACACAAATTAGGAGAGAATTTATGGTTCCAGCTCATTTGAGCATTTTATCAAACACTAGATGGGTATTATGATTTCAAGGTCCTCCCATGGTGGATTCTTTGACCCCACTACCCAAAGTCTACCCAATTTAGCTCAACATTCTTCCCCCAACCCTTGATAGTACATGCATGTAAAAATAAACAACTCCCATACCCAAGCATTGCCTCACTAATTAACTATTATCAATTAGAATCATGAAATTGAGGGCTATGGAGTAGAAACTCAACTCTAGGATGAAGACCTAGTGATTTCTTCTTACAATTTCTTCAACTTTGAGCAAGAATTGATGGATGATGGGCTTAGGAACTCCCCCTCTCACTCTTTGGCACTCCCTCTCTCTAGAATGTATGTTTTTGCTTCAGAAGTGGTCCATTACTCTAATATATCAAAATAGGGTCGGGTATAAAAATTAGAAAAAATGAGCCCCGTCACAAATCTGCGGTCTCATATGCGGTCCGCGAAATGGCCTCCGGAACTGGGCACTCCTGCCCCACTCTATGGCCATTATGCGGTCCGCAGACCTGTTCTGCGATCGCATAATGCGACGTAGAACCTCCCTTCGGAAAAATCTTCATGCTGGTTCCGCGATCGATGTGCGGCGCGCGAAATGGTTTTTACGACCGCATAATTGACCGCACAATGCCATCCAAACTTGGCCAGTTTCCTACTTCACTCTGTGGCCATTATGCGTCTGCATAGTGGGCCGCAGAAATGTCTTCTTCTGCCAAAAAATTTCCTTTACTCCCCAGCGCACTGTTCAACCGATTGTTCTACATTCTTCAACACAACAGCCTACTTTGGCACCCCGCAACCCCGGGTTTTTAGGCAAAATTTATGGGGCCTTACAAGATCCCCCACTTAGGATCATTCGTCCTCGAATGAGGGTCAAAATTCAGCATTAGCGCACAATGTGACTCAGTTGCTACAACACACATCAGGAGTTCTATTTTTTGACTAACTCCGTAAATTTCCAAAAATTTCACCAGAGTCACCCCTGTAATTGGGCCTATTCACCTGCTAAAGAATCCCAAAATCAGTCCTAACAACATATACAGGAACCAACGACGTAACATAATATTAAAATAATGTCAGTCGTGGCCTCACGAGCAGTATACCACCAAAAAGGAACACTTTTAACATCAACAGTACAAATGATACATAATTCGTAGAAGGTAACTCTTAGCATTTTCATAGAACACAACTTTATAAATACATGGCTATTCAAACAAATAAGGATATTTCTTTTACATTCGTCAACACAAAAGCCTACTTTGGCACCACAAAACCCCGGGTTTTTAGGAAACATTTATGGGGCCTTACAAGAGATTCCTCCAATCGATTCGGTACCGGTTGTGAGGGAGTTTCCCGAGGTGTTTCCTACAGATTTGCTGGGTATGCCACTAGAAAAGTATATTGACTTTTGCAATGATTTGGTTCTGGGCACACAACCTATTTCTATTCCACCATATCGTATTCCTCCATCTAAGTTTAAAGAATTGAAGGATCGGTTGTAGGATTTGCTTGACAAAGGGTTCATTAGACCAAGTATTTCACGTTGGGGTTCGCCGGTGTTATTTGTTAAGGAAAAGTACGGATAGATGAAGATGTACATTGACTCGGTAGTTGAACAAAGTGACTATCAAGAACAAGTATCCATTGCCGAGGATTGATGATTTATTTGACCAGCTTCAGGGTACCAAGGTATTTTTCAAGATTGATTTGAGATCTGGCTACCATAAGGTGAAGATTAGGCCATCGGATGTCCCTATGATATCTTTTAGGACTCGTCATGGTCATTATGAGTTCTTAGTGATATCATTAGGCTTGAATAATGCTCCAGCATCCTCGATGGATTTAATGAACCGAGTGTTCAAGCCTTATTAGTATTCCTTCATGATTGTCTTCATTGTCTTCATTGATGATATTAGTACTCTCTTAGTAGTAAGGAGCATGAGCATCACCTATGGATTGTACTTTAGACTTTGAAGGATCATCAACTATATGCCAAGTTTTCAAAGTGTTTGTTCTAGTTGGACTTAGTCGCCTTTTTGGGTCATGTTGTGTCTTCTAAGGTTATCAAGATAGATCCTATGAAGATAGAGGCAACTCACAATTGGCCTAGACTTACTTCAGCTACATAGATTCGGAGCTTCTTGGGTTTGGCGGGGTACTATCAATGTTTCATAAAAGGGTTTTCATCTATCTAAGCCCCATTGACAAGTTGACCCAAAAGGGTGCTTTTTATAGATGGTACTGTTATTGCCCATGAGTTCGGGGTCTTGCATTGTGTATTGTCATGCATCGTGTATTGGACTTAATATGGTATTGATGTAGGATAGAATGGAGATTGCCTACGTATCCCGCCAGTTGAAGGTCCATGAGAAGAATTACCATGTGCATGATTTGGAGTTTGCAGCCATTGTTGACGCACTCAAGGTTTGAAGGCACTATCTATATGGTGTGCCATGTGATGTCTATACTAACCATTGGAGTCTCCGGCATCTATACAAGCAAAAGGATCTTGATTTGAGGTAGCGGAGATGGTTAGAGTTATTGAAAGACTATGTTATCACCATACGATATCATCCGCGGAAGACCAATGTGGTGGCCTATGCCTCGAGTAAGAAGGCGGAAAGCATGGGTAGCTTGAATTTATACCGACATTAGAGAGACCATTGGCCATGGATGTTCATGCCTTGGCTAACAAGTTTGTGAGGTTGGATTTTTCGAAGCCTAGTAGAAATCTCGCTTGTGTTGTAGAGCAGTCATCTTTGGTGGACAGCATCAAGGCTCGTCAGTTTGATAGCACCCACTTTTTGGTTTTGAAAGACACGGTGCAGCGGGCTGGTGCCAAGAAGTTCTTGATTGGGGATGATGGTGTTCTGCGGCTTCAAGGTCAGATTTGTGTTTCGAATGTTGATGGGTTGAGAGAGTTGATCCTTGATGAGGCTCATAGTTCATGGTATTCCATTCTTTCATATGTCACGAAGATGTATCTTTACTTGAAGCAGCATTATTGGTGGCGAAAGATGAAGAAAGTCATTGTTGGATATGTCTCCCAGCGTTTGAATTGTCAACAGGTGAAGTATGAACATCAGAAACCGAGTGGGTTGACTCACAAGTTAGTGATACCAGAGTGGAAGTGGGAGCGCATCACTGTGGACTTCGTGGTAGACTTTCCACAGACCTTTAGGAAGTACGATAATGTTTAGGTTAGTGTGGACTATTTGACTAAGTTCGCGCACTTCATTCCGGTGATGACTTCCTATTCTTTTGAGTGGTCGACTCAGATTTATATCGGGGAGATAATGCGCCAGCACGGTGTTCCCATTTCTATCATTTTAGATCGTGTCACGTAGTTCACTTTATACTTTTTGAAATATGTGTAGCGTGTGTATGGCACGCGGGTTGAGTTGAGCACATATCACCCTTAGAAGGACAGGTAGTCCAAGCTGACTATTCAGATTTTAGAGGACATGTTGAGGGGATGCTCTATTGACTTCAGGGGTCAGTCAGACCAGTATATTCCTCTAGCGGAGTTTTTGTACAACAATAATTATCAATCAAGTATCTAGATGGCTCCGTATGAGGCCTTATATGGGAGGCGAAAGTGCTCTCCAATTGGATGGTTTTAGCCTAGTGAGGCTAGATTGTTGGGGATAGACTTGGTTCATGATGCTTTGGAAAAGGTGAAATTGATTCAGGAGCGGCTTCGTATAGCACTGTCCAGGAAAAATAATTATGTGGATAGGAAGGTTAGGGATGTGGCTTACATGGATGGTGAGAAGGTTCTTCTCCGAGTTTCACCTATGAAGGCCGTGATGTGATTTGAGAAGAAGGCAAGTTGAGCTCGAGGATTATTGGCCTGTTTGATATCTTGGAGAGAGTTGTGGAGGTTGCTTATAGGCTTGCATTGCCTCTTAGCCTAGCGGTGTACATTTGGTATTTCACGTTTCTATACTTTGGAAGTACCATGAGGATAGCTCACATGTTTTGGACTTCAGCACGGTGCAGTTTGACAAGAACTTGACCTATGATGAAGAGGCGGTAGCCATTTTAGACCAGCAAGTTCGAAAATTAAGATCTAAGGATATTCCTTCTGTGAAAGTGAGTTAGAGAGGTCAGTTGATTGAGAAGGCTACTTAGGAGTTCGATTCCATCATGAGAAGCAGATAACTGTATCTTTTTACCAGTCCAGGTACATTTCTATGTCCGTTTAAGGACGGATATTTTTTTTAGAGGTGGAGAATGTAACGCCCCGATAGGTCATTATACTAGATCTCCTTTCTGTATTTCGAGACTTTTCGTAGCTCAATTTAATGATTTATGACTTGCGTGCGTGATCCTTGTCAATTTCTGGAAAGATTAAAGGAGAATTTGTAAAGAAAATATGATTTTTGACTTTGAAAAAGCAAGAGTTGACCACGGTCAATACTTTTGGTAAATAACCTCGAATTGGTATTTTGACAGTTCCGGTAGGTTCATATGATGATTTTAGACTTGTACACAGGTTTGGTTAGGGTCCCGGGTGACCCAAGGCTGCTTCGGCACTTTATGTGGAAAGTTATAAAATTGAGTTTAACTTTGAAAATCTTGAGTTTTAATGATCGATTCTTGATTTTTATGTTATTTTGATGCTTTGAGCTTGCAAGCAAGTTTTTATAATATTATTACACTTCTGTGAATGTTCAAATTGGAGCCCGATGGGCTTGGGTGACTTTTGGATAGGTTGCGAACTTATTTGGTATGACAGTGTGTTGTTGGTGTTGTTAATCTGCTAATCTCGCATTTGCAAGGTTCTACTCACAAGTGTGAGCCTCACATTTGAAAAGTTCTACTCGCAAATATGAGCCTCGCATTTGCGAGACAATGCTCGCATTTGCGATATGAGATGGGGCTAGGCACTTCGCTTTTGTGAAGCATGTGTCGCATTTGCGGATGGGTTGTTACCACAATTACGAGATTTGTATTGCATTTGAGACACTAGGCTATGGTCGGATAGCTTCGCATATGCGTAGCTTTGTTTGCTTTTGCAAGGGTCTGGACCTTCGCAAGTGCGAAGGATTCGTCACATTTGCGAAAACTGAGAGGCTCACGCACTGATCCCATTTGTGATCAGTGGTCTGCATTGGCAGACGCTGAAATTGCAAACAAGAGTTCGCAGTTGTGATACCTACAACTGGGTAAAATGTGGGGATTTCGGGTCTTATATCATTTTACACCATTTTTGAGATCTAGACTCCATAAACGCAATTTTGGAAGAGCAATTTCTTCCCAACTTTATTGGTTAGTAACTTTAACTTGTTTCCATTTAATTTCCATTACTTTTTATGAATTTCATTGTCAAATCTACGATTTATTGAGTAGAAATTGGGGGTTCTGGGTAGAAACAAGGAATTTTGTAAAATTGAGATTTAGACCTCAAATTGAGGTCGAATTTTGAAAAAAAAATCACATATTCAGGCTCAGGGGTGAATGGGTAATCGAGATTTGGTCTTAATTTCGAATTTCGACCATGTGGGCCCGATTGACGTTTTATTGACTTTTTAAAATATCTTAAAGATCGAAACTTTTTCGTACGAGTGTAGTTTCTAAAACTTGTTTTGACTTGTTTGAACAATAATTGACTAGATTCTAGTGGTTTGGAGGCTTGTTCTAAAGGGAAAGCTGTGTTGAATTGTGAACTTTGTTCCGGAAAAAGGTAAGTGTCGTGGTTAACCTTGATTTGAGGGAATTAGGACTTGATATGCGAGATGACGGGTGTTTATACATTGTCATGGGTTCAAGCATGCAGGGTATACTACTTTGTTGCATGTCTTTAATTATATCATGTCTTCATCTAATCCATGTTTTTACCTCTTATGTGCTTTTACGTGATTCATGTCTTTACCAGTTATATACATGCCTTCACTTGTTACTTGTCTTTAATTGTTACATGCTTCCATTTATTCATGCCTTTATTTATTATACCCCTTTACTTGTTATATTCTCTTACCTGTATTAGATAGATGCTTCTACTATTTCATGCCTTTACATGCCTTATTGCCTTTGCTTGTTTCCTGTTTCACTCTACTTTGTTACATCGGATGTGCCTTGGCGAATTGTGCGTTTTACTTTCTTTTATGTCATATTGTGAGATTACCCGTATTTGGTTGTTATTGATATATGGGATCGGATTGCATGCCACAAAAATATTATTATATATATTGGATAGGTTTGCACGCCGCAACAGTATTATTTTATATGTGGATCAGGNGCAACGTAGAAGATGAATTGTGGTTATTCTTGGTGGTTATACTCTGCTATCGTATTTTGTTGTAATACTGTGATGTGATGATATTCTAGGGTCCTTTGTCATTTACTCTCTTGTTTCGTTTATTATGTAGTTATTCGTTTTCTCTATCTTATTATTGCTTCTCTGCTTACTACTCGTACATGTTTATAATGAGTGTCTTGTCATAGCCTCATCACCACATCACCGAGGTTAGGTTTGATACTTACTAAATACATGGGGCCGGTTGTACTCATACTATACTTCTGCTCTTCATGTGCAAATCCCGGTGTTGGTCCCAGCAGCGTTCAGAGGTGATAGCATAGACCCTTTTTTTAGGAGACTTGAGGTAGTGCTGCTTGGCTATCGTATGCCCTGGAGTCCCCTTCCTATCTTTATCTATTGTTTATTGTTCCAGACAGTATTGTATTTTCATTTCAAACTTTTCTTTAGCATTATTAGTGGCTCATGAACTTGTGACACCAGATTCTGGAGATAGATTTAGACGGTATTGGTTGTACTCCTATTATATGTTTATGCTATTTAACTTTTTTACTATTTTAAGGTATCTTACTGTCACGACCCAATTCCTCCTATACGCTGTGATGGCGCCCAAAGTCGCCAGTAGGCAAGCCAATGGTGAACTAGCCATGTGTTTATTCTTTTTACCAATTTCGAAATAGTTTACTTTTATTTATTAAGTAAATAAGAGGTGAAAATTTTAATAAAATAAAGCGTAAAAAAATATAAGAGCAAGTGTGGTGTAACAAATACTCAAAAGCCATCAAATGTCTACTAGCATGTTTCTAAGACCTGGTGTCACAAGTATATGAGCTACTAGTAGAATATACAAAAAACTAAACTACTGTCTGAAATAGAGTAGACAGAAAGAAATGCAAAAGAGAGACTCTGGGTGCTGCAGAACGGACTCAGAAAGTAGCTCACCACTAAGCCTCAGGGTATTGGGGGTGTGCGTGTAATGCCCCGTAAAGTTTTACCTAAAACCCGGGGTTTCGTGGTTCAAACTTTTTGGGTTGAACAGTGCGTTGGGGAGTTGAAGAAAATTTTTGGAAGTGCAGGGCATTTCTGCAGTCCATTCTGCGATCGTAAAATTGATATGCGGACTGCAGATCCGCCACAGATTTAAGCAGAAACTTGGGAAAAGTTTTGGACCCTTATGTGGTCCATTATGCGGCCGCATAATCATTATGCGGGCCGCATAACTCATCGCAGACCCAGTATGAAATTTTCCGGAGGGGGAGTTATGCGGCGCATTATACGACCGCAGAATTGGTCTACGGACCGCAGACCGGCTGCAGAACAAGGAAGAATTGCCCAGTTCTGGAGGGCCATTGTGCGGTCCATTTTGCGGACCGCAGAAGCGTTATGCGGTCGCATATGCAGCCGCAGATCTGTGTCGAGGGTTCATTTCTCTAATTCTTTTTACCCGACCCTGTTTTGATTAAAAGCCCTTGGGGCTCATTTTGAGAGAGAAATCTGATATTTTTATCCGACCCTATTAGAAAGAAGGGAGAGTGTTCTAGAGCGAGAGAGGAGGAGACCCTAGGCTAATTGCTCATCAATTCTTGCTCAAGACTTGGAGAATTCACAAGGAAAACTCATAAGGTCTTCATCCAAGAGGTAAGGTTCTAACCCTAGTCTTCAATTTCTAGTTTAGGTAGGAGATGGGTAATTGGGAGTATGATTCTTGGTTATTAGAGTTTTTTATTTTACATGCATGTACCATGAAGGGTAGTGGGAAGATTGTTGAGCTCTTTTGGGTAAACTTTGGGTAGTGGGATGAAAGAATCCACCATGGGAGGACCTTGAAACCTTAATGCACACCTAGTGTTTGATAAAATGCTCAAGTGAGCTGGAACTATGAACTCTCTCCTAATTTGTGTTCAATTTTGCTATATTTCTAAATAGATCGATGAGACTAAGAATTCCGAAATATTGTAGTAATTTAAAAAGCTCGACGCAAGGTATGTTGGCTAAACTCTTCTCTTAGAATTGAACCCCACAATATCTTTTTAACTCCCGTGATGCTTATTATAAATTGATTATTTCAAATAAGCCTTGCGTCAATATAAATATGGGTTCCATATGTATTCCAAAGATTTTTGTTATGTTGTGTCACCATTGAGAATGTGGTTTAAGTATGGGCTGTGTGTTATTATGTCAAATTGTGTAAGAAATTACATGCGCCTAAGACCCTAAATTGCTCAAGTATGTGTTTAAAGTCTTAAATTGAAAAGCCTTGTTATTGATTATCCATGATGATGTTTGAAAGTGAAATAGTGACCATGAACTATAAAGTACGGCCAACATGCCAAGAATGATATTGCGTTATGGCCAATGGTGCCAATAAAATGAATGACATGTAATAGAATATGAAATGAATGGTAAATCCTTTTAACAATAAATGTCTTAGGAGTGTCGTTAAGCCACCGAGGAAGGGTAGGTCGGAACAACCTAACCCCGAAACTACATGTGCCGGTGTAGGAGTGATTTAGGGGTAAATCCAATGTGATGAGACTGTTTCCCCTTATATGTGATGAGATTGGTGTGTTGAGATGTTTCCCCTTAAATGGAATGAGATTATTTCTAGCGAGATGTGATGTGATGTCGACCTACACGGCATTGTGGTGAGACAGCTTAGCCGATCGGGCTAAGATCGGACGCCATGCCAAGCACATGGTGGTATTGTGAGTGTATGTCTCTGGGTGAGACGGTTTAGCCGGTCGGGCTGAGATCGGACTCCGTGCTAAAACACGGTGGTGTGTCGGTGCTAAAGATCTCCCAACTTAAATTAATAAAATTTACTTGAAATTTACCTTTCCCCTAACGTGACACCTTGTTACTATCTGAGTTTATTATTGATTTCATGTTTTATTCTCCATTTACTGTTAATCATTCTATTGATAGGGTGTTTATTTTTACATACTAGTACTATTCGATATGTACTAACGTCCCTTTTGGCGGGGGCACTGCATCTTTAATGGATGCAGGTGGTTCCATAGCAGGTGGTATTGATCAGTATTAGCAGTACACCCTCTCCTCAGCTGATTTGGTGAGCCCAACTTCATTTTGGGGTTCTGTATCTCTTATCCTTTGTACATAGCATTGTGAGGTATAGCTGGGGCCTTGTTGTCGGTACTGTCTTAGCACTCTTTGTTCCTGTTATAGGCTACGTAGACATAGTGTGGGTTGTACCTGTTTTTGGGAAGGTTAACTAAAAATGTTGTAATCATATCATTTATTCCACTTTAACTATGATTGTACTATGTTCTGTCTCAAAGACTTCTTAATGACGTAACTAATGGAAATGAACTGGTGTTATCCACATGACCTCTTACGGTCTACTTAACGAAATGTAATATTCTCTTTATTCATTGGTGAGTTGGGTAGACGGCACTGTGCAGACTTGCTCGATCGGGGTAACTCTGTTGAGCGCCGGTCGCGCTCTCCGAGGTCGGGGCGTGACAGCGCGCCTGGAAGACTGCCAGATGCACCTGCCTCAAATCTCGCATGATTCGACATCGACACTTACTATGGGCCAATAATAATATGCAGGAATTCTAAATAGATATGGAACATGGAAATAATAATAATAACACAATAACAAGCAATGAATAAATGATTCCTTAACTGATAATAAATTTCAAAATCTCCATCTAACATATACTAGTTCCAAATCACTTTCGATCATTAAATAAATTATACCTCTCAAGCCATAACATAATATCAAGTGTAATCGGGTTCCGAGTATTATCACGCACGATTTATGCCGAGGTCGTACGGCCCGATCCAAAATACTGTGTGCACTGTCGAGGGTCAAACAGCATGAACCATAGATGCATCTATTATACTGCCGAGGCGAACGGCCCGCTCCCATG